CAGCCATCCGAAGTGATTGATTGGAGCAGTCTCAACATCGACCTCACGAGGCGACACACCAATCATGCGTCGCGATTCCAGGTGTTAATGACCTGCGTGGAAGAAAATTCTGTGCATGTCACGATGCTTGACAGATTGAGGAGTAATTAACCTATAATCCGGCAAGTACTCGTTCACTAGCGACCCTACGGCACATGCATTGGAGGCGATTCTACCAGAAGCCGAAGCGTTACAAGCATCAGCGTAACTTCGACGATGCAGGAGAACGTCAAGCAACACGAGGTGTCAACAAATGAGGGAGATGCGAACTACTACAACACGATCACGCGCTCTACCGACCGTACATCGGAGGCACGGATGAGCATACCAGGGATTGCTACCCGTGGATACATTGAGGGGAGAAGCAAATTTCTCTTCACACCCTCAAATGAAACAATCACTGGCAGCAATGGAGCAACACATGTGTACTAATGTGCACGTGTTCCTGGTAGTTACGCCTATTACACCCATCAGGAACACTCTACTGGGAAGAGGGAGTTGATGGATTCTCCTTCAACTGGTACGAGTTGACAGAATTCTCTGCAGCAGCTGCCGCCGTTGCCGTCGTCGCAACCGCCGCCGCAGCAGAAGACTGGACACAACAGTCACAACCAAATCCTGATGGATGATTCTCCACTCAATGGAGATAATGCTGGATTATATTCCTATGGATCGTAAAGTCCCGGCCAGGCACAGTCCTATGATTTCCAGCTAGTGGGAAGGAGATACCACTATGCGAGGGAACATCATGGCAATGCCATATACCCTCAAGAGCAGAAGATATTTGCTCTTATGAGGATGGGAGGACCGCGGTACTCTACCGGTATACAAGTCCTCATGGCCTATGGCTTTCCTTAAAGTCATAAAACCTGCGTCGCAACCAATCCATCACCAGCACCAACTCCACGGAAGCAGATAGGCGTGGAATGGAGCGCCGACGTCACTCCGGATAGTGGACTCCGCGTATCTCCAACAACACCCCTGTTTGCCGAAATGGAGCAGACTTCAACATTAATGCTGAGTAGCTGAGACGTCTTCAACTTCAACGCTACTTCAAGGACAGTGGCAGAATGAGACAACACATGATGGCACCAGAAGACCTATCCCAATATGTGCGCCCAGACACCGATGCCTACCGATAGCCTCCGTGCCAAACCGGAAGTGCATAAGGTCATACTGGATTGGCTGTCAGCAATGCTCATTTGGAAATGGGAGAGGATTATTTGGGAATACCCCTAATATTCCCAGTTGTCCTTACCCATCACTATGGGATATCTACACAGCTGAGATTCCTTGCTTGAGCAACCACCGAGGGAAACTACTTGGCGCCGATTCTGGAAGTTACCAGCTCCGCGTATATGGTACCAACCCCTCGCATGGTTCTGAACACAAGGGATACGCTGAGCAGCACTTCGCATGCGCTGTTGTACTCAAGGCAATATGAGTAGCAGACCGCGTGGTGGACAGGGTTACTACTAGTGATTTTGCTCTCCATTCCGCAGCACTACGATGCCGAGTGGGTACGACTCACGACAACAAGTATGCTCCTGACGCCGCTACTGGACAGACGTTGTACTTCGTCTGTTACGGACGCCACCCGACAAATCCATTTGATCTCCGTTGTCCATGAGCTCTAACACCGGACACGCCACTTGGACATCCAGCAGCAGCAAAAGCAACTGGCTACTCATCACCACAGTTATCCACACCATAATCTCGACATCTGCCATCTTCCATCCAAGCTTCAACTTTGCTTCTGCGTGTCCATCCTCGTTGAAGCAAAGGTCACTTCATTCACCTTCCTCTTCCGCCTACCAGCCACTTGGAAGATCCATAACACCTTCCATACCAGCTTCTTAAACCCTATCAAGACCAAAAACGCTCTACACCAAATGCCAACCAACGTCTCCGCCCGTGTTCATCCACGACATGGGACAACTACGTACTTGGACACCGTCATTGTCAGAATGGCACTCTGAAGCTTCTTCTTTGCTGGAAGGGTTGTGATCATTCTGAGGCTGCGTCTCTGAATCCGACATGGGTAACGCCCGTCGTCCTCTTCGCGACTACCTTGTCAAGCAGGGTGCTACTTCTACCACCCAGCTTTGAGGGGGGGAAGTGCGAGAGTACGACCCCGTTACACTATTTTCCCCTTTCCATATTTCCTTTCTATTTCATTCCTCTTTCACTCCTGATTCATTTGGTCTTTATCTCATCTCATTTGGTTTCCTATTCCTCATTTTCCATTATCCTTTGGTTTATCCTGTTATTATAATTATATCACCGACCAGGCTCGGGATGTACTGGCGCGCTATATCTAGCGTAATCCTGCCGTAATCCCTTAAAGCCAATAGCCTCGCGTGGCTATACGCAGGGTGATTCTATTTCTAGAAGGGTCTATTTCCTTTGGATAGGATAAACCTGGTTACCTGATGTAATATGGAAGTATAAAAGCCCCTTGTACTGATTGATAGTGCAACATTGAGCAAACCTTTCCTCGGGACATTCGATCCTGTGACAGTCAGGGAGGCGGGTGGCCAGCAGGTAGAGAGCAGAGCAGAGGGGCGGCTGGTGAGCGCAAAGTTGTGTGTCATTGCAGGCAACGCGCTAGGTCTCGTCTATAGTGCGCAGGTGGGCGGCCAGATCAGCGACAGTGGGAAACGACGCAAGGTCAGAGAAGAGCATGGGGAGGATCATGCGACCTACCGAGGCAGCAAGCGTGGTGGAATAGCACTGGACAACAGCATCTAGGAAAGCCTGGGCAGTGGTGACAGACCTAAAGTGAGGGCGCTCAGACAGGGGGAGGGCATGGCTGATAGCAAGCTGTGCGACAACATCACGCGACAGCCAGACGGAGCGAGCAAGGGCAGCGGCCGCAGCGAACTCACGCTCAGCAGACGAGGGGTCAGCGGACAGCGCAGTAGGGTGGTCAGGGCAGGGGAGCATACCGTCAAGATGGACAGAAAGCGAGTGGCCATCTTGCCGCTGACCAGTGAGGTGGCGGCAGAAGTCGGCCAGCCACGCCTCAAACTCAATCGGCTGGCCCTCAGCATCAAAACGAAGCACCTCCGCCATCAAGAACGATGCAGGGCGGTGTAGAGCGGTGCAGTGCGATACAGTGCAGCGCAGTGCGGTACAGCGCGGTGCAGTGTGGTGCAGTGCAGGGTAGCACGGTGCAGTGCGATGCAGAGCGGTGCAAATCGGTGCAGTGCGGTGCAGAGCGGTACAGTGCGGTGCAAAGCGTTGCAGTGCGGCACCAGGGGGGTTGTAGGGCGGTGCTGGTCGGGAAGAATGTGCCAGGCACGAGTCGGCGGCGAGCCGGCGGCGAAGCGAATGCGGGGCCGGCGACGACGCCGGACGCTAGGGGCCGGCCGGCGGACGGCGGACGCGAGGGGCCGGCGACGATGGCGGACGCTAGGGGCCGGCGACGACGGCGGTCGCTAGGGGCCGGCCGGCGGACGCGAGGGGCCGGCAAGGGGCGGGCACGAGGGGCCGGTAAGGAGCGGGCACGAAGGGGAGCTGGCTAGGAGAGGGCGCGACGGCTCAGGGGAGAAACGGCCAGGACGGGCGGGGCGGCGACAAGGGGCAGGCTAGGGGCAGGCGCGATGGCGAGCAGGGTCAGCTAGGACGGGCGCGACGGCACACGGGACCGGCTAGGGACGTACTCAACGGCGCAGGGGGCCAGGTAGGACGATTGCGACGGCTAGGAACGGCCGCGAGAACGGCTAGGAACGACCGCGACGGTGGCTAGGAGCGTTCGCGTCGGCTAGGAAAGACCGCAACGACGGCTAGGAACGGCCGCGACGGCGGCTAGGAACAGTCGCGACGGCTAGGAACGACCACGACAGCGGCTAGGAACGTTCGCGACGGCTAGGAACGGCCGCGAGACGGCGGCTAGAGACGGCCGCGAGACGGCGGCTAGAGACGGCTGTGACGGCTACTAGGGACGGCCGCGAGACGACTAGGGACAGCAGCGACGGCGAGGAACGGTCGCGACAGCGTCTAGGAACGGCCGCGACGGTGGCTGTGAACGGGCGAGACGACAGCTAGGAACGAGCGCGACAGCTAGGGGCGGGCGTGACGGCGGCTAGGGCCTAGGGCGGAAGCGTGGGCGGGCTAAGGGGGGGGCCGAACCTACTATGATACCATATCATAATGAGTAGTAGTTGAGTAGAATAGAAGGATACAGGGGTATATAGACTACGGGTTGTACCCTCTAAGGCACAATCTACTATAGTCTACAGTAACTACATAAGTTATATTTGACAGTAGTAAAAGGAAATTTCCATTCCTTACCGTGCCAAACTACTAGCGCGTACACCACCCGTACACATCACTAGACTCGGCCCCACCTCCGTCTTTATACGTCACTCCGAACAGTTTCCGTGTCATCTCGAAGCGCTCCTCGTCCTCGAATGCCTTCTTGAACCTGTGCACCACGTGGCTATGATAGCTCCGGTGTTCCTATATCTTGATTCGTCATTTCATTGAACGGCCATTCTGTTATTCACAACTTTGTTATTCGATTCCACGCTACTCTGCTTTATCACTCATAACAATAGACCTGATATCTATTCGTTAACTTGTTACATTCTCCATATGCTACACTTGCCAGGATCAATCATTGATATTTCGTGAGGTGCCAGCTCAGTGTGGAGGCCATACCTCGGGCTGTGCTTCGGTTGGGGGGGAACGGACCTCGGGAGGCCATGTGGATCACCACCTGCAGTCCATGTGGACATCGAAACCTCATCCTAGCCATCGGTCTGGTCGTTCAATTGAAACCCTAACTGAGGTCTGAGGATGACAGCTATTGGCAGTTTCCCGTCACGTTTCTTGACGGACGTAAGGTTTTTCCGTTTGGGTGGTGGATTCAGGAACCAGCAGGAGGCCGGTTTTGGTTTGAAGTCTTGAAAACCTAAAATCAATGTTCCTCCTTTGTCGTGCACTGTTTTCCGTTTTTCGCCATGGCTCCAACTACGAAACCCTAGATGGACTAGGTTAGATTACCCTTAGGTAGTTTCTTTCCAAAGCGCATCGCAGTTGGCTTTTTCCCTTTTCCCTTTTCAGTAGGCCGCTAGTTACGATTTCTGTTTATGGTATCGTCAGGCGTAGGTTATTCTCGGTCATCTAGGGTTCCATGGATGCGTGGGGGAGGTGAAGGGGGGCCTCAGGTCTCGTGCGTGCGAGATGGAGTTGCATCGGGGGGAGGGGTCCGCGGAGATTTCGTCAGGCCGTTTCCAGGCGCCTCCCCTTGGCGTGCCTTGCTCGAGGCCCGTGTCGGTTTCGGACGTTTTGGCAGACGGCGGCCGGCTGTTTTTGAACGGTTCCCGAGGCGTCATGGGAGCCTCGATATTACCGCAGAAGCGGCATCTTGCCGGCCCGAAACAGAACGGATGGTTCTCCGTTTCTGACGCTTCCGGAGCGACTCTGGCCTTCTCGGGTGTGGCCGCTAGGAGCGACTCGTCGTTTCCCAGCCGCATTCGCAACGGCGCGCATAACGGCATGCATAACGGAACGCATAGCGGAGTAATGCATAACGGAGTACATTCTGGCGATCTCGCAGCAGCAGCGACGGCGTTAGGGTTGCAGCCGGTGGTTCTGTCGTGCAGCCGCGGCGCCGCCGAGCGAGCGAATCGCCTGGCGTTTCAGGCGGGTGCTTCCGATAGAGGGTCCGATTCGTTGAAAGAACCCGATTCGTCAAAAGGAACCGACTCGTTTCGCTGTAGCGTTCGAGCTGGCGAAGATTCCTCCGGTGTTCAGAGCGTTCCTCAAGGTTCGGCCACGAAGGACGCACCCCCGAGTCTTGCGCTCTCTGGCCGTCTGCTCTCGCCGTCTCGCCACCGGCAGCGGTCGCAAAGGATGCACAGAGAGGCGGTAGACCAGGCCGGGAGTAGAGAGGCGTTGAAGAACGAAGACGGACGGAAGGACGCTCAGAGTCGTAGTTGCTGTGGTCATTTCAGGGAGTCGCACGAGGCACCTGATAGAGTTTCGCAGGAGTCGCACGAGGAATCGCATGGGAAGTCGCGTAGGGAATCGCGTGTCCCGCATCTGGAGCGAGAGGCGAAGGAAGTCGAGACAAGAAACGATTCTGTAGCACATTCTGTCGTTACGGGTTGCGAATCGGAACAGCGAAACGCGGCAGGCGAGGATAGCTTGTTCCTGCGACGTCCGGAATCCAAGCAGCAGCAGCAGCAGCAGCATCAGCGGTTTCCGGAGCCGTCTTCCAGGGGCAGGCAGTTACCCGCAGCGGACGCACTGGCGAGGGACTTGTCGGCAGGGGCTCTGGGGGCTCTGCGGGCTGGTGACGTGGCCAGGGGCGAGCATGGCCACTGTCTGTCCTTGTCCGTCGCAGATCTCAAGTGCAAGGGAAGCCAAGGGAATATTCAAGGGCAAGAGGTTGCTGGAGCGCCAACAGAGCGACAGTCGGTGAGACGCGGAGATCGATACCTATTTCTAAACCTGGCTCACTGTTTTTGTTTCACTCTGTTTTCCTCTCCCCCCCCCCCCCCCCCCCCCCCCCCCCCTCCCCCCCCGCTTGGTTTAGATCTTGACACATACCGTCATTTTCGTCGAGATTTCTCTCAACGGAATTTTGGTTTGCCCGTATTTTTACAGCGCAATTAACACGTTGTGCTCCTGTGCGTTTGTGCAGATTGCGAGCGCAGGGGCAGCTACAGAGCGGCGGACCACCTTTCACAGCAACTTGTTGCCGGATCGCAGCTTACTACCGGATCGCAGCTTACTACCGGATCCTGCCGCGGCTGAAAATTCCTCTCCATCAGCAGCGGCGGTTCACGGCCTGGTCTTCAATGCGAAATTGGCCTCTTCGTCAGGCGAATCTCGCGCTCGTAATGACAGCTCCAGGCGAATAGGGTTACCTCTCGTTGGCCACGCCCTGATGGACTGCGGGAACTTTCTCTACCCGCCGCTCAAGAAGGCCAGAGCCACCAGGGACCCCAAGTTTCGCAAGCCAAGCGCGAACCGACTCCCAGGCCTGGCCGAACTTCCGTGCTGCACAGGCTCGGAACCGAACCTATCGCTGAGCCTGTCCTTCCCGCAAGACTGCAGCTCCGAGCGTGAATCGCCATCTGCGACTCGTCCCCTGACCGCCCCTCTGGCTGATAAGCACAACGGCTTATCAGGGGAGACTCCGCGTGCCCTCCCCAGCACGCCTGTTCCACCCGCAACGCCGTCCTTCTCCCTTCTGGAAGGGCCAAGGACCGTCTCTCCTATAACGCCCGAAGGGGGGGAATCCTCCCTGGAGGACTCTGCGACGGCTGCCCGCCTGCGAGCCGTCTCAGCTGCTCGGGCAGCCGTAGAAGCACGCGCGTACGCCGTCAGAAAAGCGCGGGCAGCTTTGCGGGCAGCTGCAAGGGCGAAGGAAGCGGTAGAGGCGGCGATTGACGCGGAGAAGCAAGAACGAGCAGGGCCGGCAGGGGCGACAGGAGCAGAAGGGAACCGTAGCTGTCCGGTCAAATGCGTGAATGGATTTTACCAGGGCACTGATGCCGGGGGGTTAGGGACGGAGGAGGGGCTGGAGGAAGGGCGGCGAGGTGCTGATGTGTCAACAGGTGATGGAATGCGATCCTGTGCGATGTGGCGGCAGGCAGTGTCGGAGCTGGAAACGCGCTGTGAACGGCTTATAGCGGGTACAGGCATGCCAGCTGCTCATAGCGAGAAATGTCTGGGAGGCTTGACGGCAGGTGCGGAGGCAGAGGCAGGGGCGGAAGCTGAATTGGGGCGGGGCGTTGAGACCACCGAGAAAGCTGTCTTTGGGAGCCACGGCTCTGGAAAGTGGTCCATTGGGTCTCAGCCGGTTGGGCCTCAGCTGGTTGGGCCGCAGCTGGTTGGGCCGCAGCTGTCCGCGGACCACGAAGGGCTGCCCGGTCGCCACCTGTTTGAGCTCCAAATGAGGCGGCCAGATTTTGCTGATTGTGGCTTGGCGCCAGCGGCAGTGAGGGGTGAGAAGGAGGTCGTGGGGGGGAGGAGGCGGAGGCGGAGCGAGTCCTTGGTCCGCGGGGAAGGGGCAGAAGGGAGCGCAGATGAGGAGGCGGCGGAAGAAAACGGTTGCGAGTTGCCGCAGGCTGTGTCAGTGGATCTTGTGATGGGCCTGGGCTGCGGGTCCCCGGGGGGGGGGTTGAAAGGTGCGCGTGGAGCGGGCGATGATGCGAGAAAGGGGCGGGAGGATGTGGATAGGGCGAGAGCAGGAGGAGGAGGGGTTGTGAGGGGGGAGGGGTGGAGGGAAGAGGAGGGAACGGGTGAGATGGAGGAGCTCTGCCTGCCGCCGGTTTCGTGCCAGAGCGAAAGGTACAAGCAGCCCAGACCACCCCCTGCGTCGTGTGACGCTGCACGTGCCAAGCAGGCCAGGCCACCTGCGAGGGATGACAGCAAAGGGCACAGCGGCCACAGCCATAGCCAGCCTGAACATCTAGATGGGGTTGCCGGCCGGCTCCACGACCCTTCTCCAGGGGACGGGTCTGCTGCTGTTGCCAATGCTGCTGCAACGGGCGAACCCAGGGCAACGTGCAACCGCGGGGCGGCTTGTGTTTTGGAGGCAACTCTGGCTGGGGACCCCGGTGAGCAGAGGGGGAGGGTCTTGGAAGAGAAGCAGGTACCGGGGCAGGAAGCGTGGCTGGCGGATGGGGCAGAGGCAGCGTCGGCTAGAGAGTGTGCAGGTGGGGAGTGTGTAGGTGGGGAGTGTGCGGAGGGTGCAGGCGTGGCGAGCAAGCCACGGGAGGCTAAGTCTTCTGGGTCTCACTGCGGTAAGGGAGTTAGTGGGGAGACGTGTGCGCTAGTGGCAGAGAGGCGAGGGACAGGGGAAGAGGTCCCTGCAGGCACGTCGACAGCAAGTGCAGCAGCAGGTGTGAGGAGCGGTGCAGCAGGTGTGAGGAGCGGTGCAGCAGGTGTGAGGAGCGGTGCAGCGGCAGGAGCGAAGGATGTGGTAGGAGAGGAGCGAGGCGAAGCAAAAGAGGAGCTACGGCCGTGCACGTTGCCTTCTGGGGCCCCGAATGCTGCTGTTGCTGCTGCGTCTGCTGTTGCTGCTGCTGCTGCTGCGTCTGCTGTCGCTGCTGTTCCTGCTGCGTCTGCTGTTGATGCCACTGCTGCAGGACCTGCTGGCGCCGCTGCTGGTGCTGCTCCCACTCGGCCTGGTGTCACTGCCGCTGGTGTTACTGCCTCTGCCGCCGCTACCCCGTGTGTCACTCCCACCACCGTCACTGCGGATGCTGCTTCCGCGGGCACTGACCCAACATCGAGCCTGGCCGCCCCTGCTCGCCGCTGTCCTTCAGAGGACCAGAAGCTTCCAAGGCATCTGCATGGGGCCTTCAACAGCCCGCCTCATGCCACTGCCACTGCCGCCACCGCCGCCACTGCCACTGCCGCCACTTCTCCACCTGTCACGACGCCTGGTGTGAATTGCCCTGATGTCACTGCCTCTGATGGCGCCGCTGCTGCTGCCTCGTCAGACGGTGGGGCAGCGTTCAGCACGCCTGCTCCTCCTCCACCCTGCCCCTCGCACGACGAGAAGCCAGCCAGGCAATTGCACCGGGCTTTCAACAGCCCGCCTGATGCCACTGCTGCCACCACTGCCCCTGCTGCCACCACTGCCACTGCCACTCCCACTACTGCCACAATCACCCCGGCGAACAATGTTCATACTCCTCGCCACCGCTGTCCCTCGGACGACGAGAGGCTAGCGCGGCAGCTGCACCGCGCCTTCAACAGTTCCCCCCGCATCCTGGGAGTCAAGGCACCCACGCCCAAGCGCTCCCGCAACCACCGCCACCCCGCTGCTCATCCCGCGCCTGCTGTGCTCTGGGCGCCTGGGAAGGGTGGGGCGGGGGGCGGGGGGGAGCCTGGGCGGAAAGGGGAGGCGAGGGGGAAGGGAGACACCGGGGGAAAGGAAGACGCGGGGGAGAAGGGAGAGGCGGTGGGGAAGGGAAAAGGGGCAGTGAGGAGAGATGCGGTGAGAGAGGGGAAGGGGGAAGCAGGTGTTGGTGATGTGAGGCCGGGTGGGAAGGGGGATGCGGATGAGAAGAGGGAAGATGGGGCGGTTGGAAGCAGTGCTGGTGACTTTGCCCGTGGAAATGGGTCTGAAGCTGCTCTGTGTGTCAACCAGGCTGCCGCATCCACCGCTGCCGCTGCTGCTGCGCCCGCCACCACTGCTGCTGCGCTCGCCGCCTCTGCTGCTGCGCCTGCCGCCTCTGCTGCTGCGCCTGCCACCACTGCTGCTGCTCCTGCCACCACTGCTGCTGCTGCTGCTGCTGCTGGAGGGGCCGCCGCTGTGGTTGCTGGTGTTGCTCCGGCGCCTCAGAAACAGACAGCTGTGTTAGCTGCTGTGAGTGCATCCCTCCATGCGCCTTCGCCCTCAAGCTTTGGGGAATGCTCGCTCCCCCCTTGCGCCGAGGCCCCTGCCCCTCCGCCCTGCGCCGCACCCCCCGCTGTTCCGCCTTGCACCAAGCTCCGCCTGGAGTCCCCCGCTCCCGCTGCTGCTGCCTCCGTGCCCCATGCGGATGACGTCAGCCCTAGCGAGGTTCCCAGTCCCAACGCTGCTGCTTCTGGGCTAGGGGCAGGCAGAGGGGCAGCAGAGAGGGAGGATGGGGAGAAGGACGGGCAGGTGAACGGGCATGCGAGGGAGTCGATCAATGGGCAGGCGAATAGGGCTGTGGATTTGACTCCAGCGGGGATTGGGAAGGGCAGGGACGGTAGGGGATTAGGGATGCATGGTCGGGGTGCGGAGGAGGGGAGTGTGCACAAGCGAGGGGGAGGAGGGGGAGGAGGGTCAGGGGGCGGCGGATCAGGCGGAGGGGGGTCAGGCGGGTGGGGAGGTGGCGGAAGCTGGGGAGGGGGGAAGGCGGGAACTGGTGGGAGGGGAGGGGCAGCAGGCGGAGGGGGGGAGGGGGAGGGGGAGGAGCAGGAGGCGGGGGCGGGGGCGGAGGCGGGGGTAGTGGGGGGAGTGGCAACGGCACTGGCGGTGCTGGGGATGGGGGAAAAGAGGGCGGCGGAGGGGGAGGGAGAGGAGGGAGGGGTGGGGATGCGGCTAGTGAGGAGGAGGAGGAGGAGAACCGAGAGCGGAAGGGCGGCAGGAAGGCCGGCAACGGCAAGGGGGGTGGCAGGAGAGGCGGCAACAACAGGGAGACGAATGGGGGTGGGAGGGACGCCAATGGTGGGAGCAGCAGTGAGGATAGCCAGAATGACCCTGAGGATAATGATGAGGAGGATGACGAGGAGCGGGAGGAAGACGAGGAGGAGGAGGATGAGGAGGAGGATGGGGAATCGGACGGTTCAGATGATGCGAGCAGCCCCAGGCGCAGCAGCAGTGCCAGCAGCGGCGGCGGCAGCAGCAGAGGCAGCAGCCGGAAGAGCGAGGAAGAAGAGGAAGGGGAGGGAGAGGAGGAGGGAGAGGAGGAGCAGAAGAAGCAGCAGAAGCAGCGGAGGAGCCTGGCTGCTCCTCGGAATGTAACGCATGGCAGGCGAGCGTCATGGGGGGCGTGGGAAGAGAGCAGCGAGAAGGGGGGCAGCAGAGACAAAGGCAGGGGAGGATCGGCTTTCAGCGACCGGGGAGACTGGGATAGGGAGAGAGAGAGGGAGGGGGAGAGGGAGGGGAGTCCGGATGTGGGGGGAGGGAAAGCGTGGCCGAATGAGGTTCCTCAGGAGGGCAGCAGCGCCAAAGGAGGGCTGCGAATAAACCACCACAGAGCAGGCGGCAGGGCGTCTGACGGCTCGCTTTTTGGAGGAGACACGTCGCCGGTGATTCCCGTGCCTTCCAAGGAGGCTCGGCAGCCGCGATCGCAGCTGGTTTGCCACCCTAGGAAGTTCCCGAAGCTGGCTTTAGCGGGGATAGGCGAGAGAGAGGGAGGGGAGGAGGGAAAGGGGGAGGGGAAGGCGCAGGAGAGGGGATGGGTGAAGGGGAAGGGATTGGGGAAGGAAAAGGAAGGGGAGAAGAGGGTGGGGAACCGGAATGGGCAGGGGGGGGAGCATGAGGCTGAGGGAGAGGGGGTGAAGGGAGTGGGGAAGGAGAAAGAGAGAGATAGAGTGAGTGAGATTGAGAAACAGAAGAAGCGGGAGAAGGAGAGAACGAGGGAACGGACCGTTGCAGAGGAGTGGGGAGTGGTGAAAGACAAAGTGAATGAGTGGGGGACCGGGAAAGGCAGGGTGAAGACAGAGGGGGTGGCGAGCGGAGAGTGGGAGAAGGCGAAGACGAGGGATAGGGAGAAGGAGTGGGAGAAAGGGCTAAAGGCGGGGTCGATTGAGAGGGAGGCAGAGAACAGAGCGAACGTGAAGGAAGGTACAGAAGCAGGCGGGCACATGGCGTGGGCACGACCCTATGAGAGGGCGAGGGATCCGTTGGAGGACGTGGGGCGGGGTAAGGGAAAGGAGGTCGGCAAAGAGGGAGGGGTGGGTGATGAGAGGGTGAAGGGAAGGGCTTTTCTAGAGCGTGAGAGAGTGGTGGAGAAGTCGGTTGCTGAGGTGAGTCAGGAGGCGTTTGAGAGAAGTACGGAGAGAGAGAGGGAGAAGGATAAAGTGGGAGAGAGGGAGAAGGACAAAGAGAACGTCCGAGGGAGACTAAAGGATGAGGGGGATAAGGAGAGGGGGGATAAGAGCAAGCAGGACGAGCGAAAAGGGGAGAAAGGGAAGGTGAAGGGCCCAGAGAACCACGCGTCACGGATTGGGGGGGCGGCGGATGCTTGGAATGTGCTGCGGAAGAAAAAGGACAAGTTTGAAGGCTTCCTGGGCGCCAAGCAGCAGCGGGATAACCTAGTGTCGAATCCGTTAGTGTCACATCCGTTAGTGCCTCGTGCTACTGTAACTCCTCAGGTGGAGGGGAAGCGGTGGAGGAAGAAGGGTGTTGTGGCAGGGCGAGTGCGGAGCGCAATAGACCAAGACTCGATTGAGGATATCCTGCCAGATGACCTTAAGGATCGTGATATTAAGGAGGGGGTCAGACGAGAGAGCGCTGTGAAAGGTTTGGAGGGGAAGGAGAAGGGGAAGGAGAAGGAGAGGGAGAAGGAGAAGGAGAGGGAAAGGCAGAGGGAGAAAGACAGTGAGAGGGGAGTTAAAGGTGGGGAGTCAGGCGTGCTTCCCGGCGGCTTAAAGGCTAGCTGCAAGCGCAAGCGGAGTGCCGAACGGAGCTTCTCGGAAGGTGCTGCTGTGGTGCGGGCGGTTAGCTGTCACGCTGGTAACCATGCGCAGAGCAGTAACCTCGGCCACACTAGTAACCACATGCACGCTGGTAACCTCGCTCACACCAGTCACAATGTGCACGCTGGTGATCACACTCAGGCTGGTAACCACGCTCATGTGGGTAACCACACTCAAGCTGGTAACCACACTCACACTGGAGCAGATGGCACAGCAGTAGGAGGTGGTGCTGTTGTGAGAGCAGCAGTAGAGGTTAGGGAAGGAGGCGAAGCAATGGGGGTGGGGCGGGTGGGAAGAGCACCGGGTATACCAAGGGCTAGAAGCACAGACGCGTTTGCACTGCACAGGAGTGCGGAGGGGGGTGCAGCAGGGAGTGCGGAGGGGAGTGCAGCGCACAGGAGGTTTGAGGGGAATGCGGGCCCTATTTCGCCTAGGTTCAAGAGCAGGAGGGCGGAGAGCGGCAGTGGTGCTGCTGGCAGCGGCGGGGGCGAGAGGGAAGCGATCCGTGCGTCCATGAGCCCCGCGGGGAGGGGACTCAGCAGCAGCGCGTCGTCTTGGGGCGAAGGTGAGGGGTGAAGGGAGGGGGGAAGGTAAGAGGGGAAGGTAAGAGGGGAAGGTAAGAGGGGAAGGTAAGAGGGGAAGGTAAGAGGGGAAGGTAAGAGGGGAAGGTAAGAGGGGAAGGTAAGAGGGGAAGGTAAGAGGGGAAGGTAAGGGGCTAAAGAGGTGGAACAGTGGCATGCTTTGGTCTGCGTTTAGGGTTCCTCAGCGGGCGTCCATGAGCCCCAAGGGGAGTGGCCCCAGCAGCAGTGCTTCGTCTTGGGGCGAAGGTGAGAGGTCAAGGCTTGTGGCCCATTTCTTGCGCCCAGCGAGCCCAGTTCACCCCGTTTTCTGTATGCAATGCATGCACTAAATCACGCGACACGCACTAAATCACGCGACACACACTAAATCACGCGACACGCACTAAATCACGCGACACGCACTAAATCACGCGACACACACTAAATCACGCGACACGCACTAAATCACGCGACACGCACTAAATCACGCGACACACACTAAATCACGCGACACGCACTAAATCACGCGACACGCACTTAATCACGCGACAGGCACTAAATCACGCGACACGCACTAAATCACGCGACACGCACTAAATCACGCGACACGCACTAAATCACGCGACACGCACTAAATCACGCGACACGCACTAAATCACGCGACACGCACTAAATCACGCGACACGCACTAAATCACGCGACACGCACTAAATCACGCGACACGCACTAAATCACGCGACACGCACTAAATCACGCGACACGCACTAAATCACGCGACACGCACTAAATCACGCGACACGCACTAAATCACGCGACACGCACTAAATCACGCGACACGCACTAAATCACGCGACACGCACTAAATCACGCGACACGCACTAAATCACGCGACACGCACTAAATCACGCGACACGCACTAAATCTCGTGCTTCCCACTCCCTCCCCTGTTCCCCTGCTGTGCCCTGCACACCCCCCTACACCTTCCCTTGTCTTCCCTTCTTCCAGGGATTTTCTCAAAAAGGCCTAAACAGCCAGATGGCGTCATTCTCTCGCCGAGACACTCTAAAGGCACGGAAGCACCAACCACCCTCCCAACCACCCTCCCAACCACCCTCCCAACCACCCTCCCAGTCACCCTCCCAGTCACCTCCCATTTGCACTCGCCCGCTGTTCTAAACGCCACCCACTGCTCGCACCCTGTGGTGGCTACTCTCTCCTCACTGTCTCCTGTCTCTGGAAACAGCTTCCCTAGTGAGGCGATTCAAAGCGTACCTGCTCCTGCTGACTGCTCCCCCCGTGCCACTGCTGACTGCTCCCCCCGTGCCACTGCCGCTGCAGCAGCGCTGGCTCTTGATATGTTTGCTGCTGCTGCTGCTGCTGCTGAGGCGGGTGGGAGGGCAAGCAGGGATGAGGGTGGGGCGGGTGATAGTGATAGCGGTGGCAGCAGCAGCAGCCGCAGCATCAGCCGCAGACGAAAGAAGGAGCAGCGGTGGAGCAAAGAAGGGAGGATGGTTGGAACAGCGGTGGGTGGGCCTGCAGTGGAATCTACACCGTTGGATCGGCTGGCCTTGCTGTCAGATGCACAGCCACGTGTCCATGAGGATTCCCTAGGGCGGCAGGCTGTGACGGGGATAGAGGCCAGGGTACAGGGGCTAAGGGACGATGGGGATGATAGTGGTCAGGCGCTTGTGCAGCTAAGTGCGGGTGCTGCTCAGTTAAGCGCCGGTGGAGCCGGCATAGACCATGCATTTTGGAGTCCAGGTGTAGGTACTGTGGGTGCTAGTGCAGTAGAGCTAGAAGGGCGAGGAGTAGGAGACGGAGTAGGAGAAGGAGGAGGAGAAGGAGGAGGAGGAAGGATAGGAGGGGTAGAGGGTAGGAGCGAGAACATTGGGAATGAGGAACAAAGGAGTGATACTGGCGATTATATGTCCGGGTTAGACCTTATAGCAGCCGAGGCAGCGGAGGTGCTTGCAGTGAGGCTGCTTGTATCGGGTATGCAGCCTGAACGGGCGGCAAGCCCGTCTTTAACAGCGTTAGTAGAAGCAGCGATGCAGCCTTGTAGGGGGGACAGTACGGCAGGGGGCAGGGCGGATAGCGGAAGGGCGGATACAGCTGGAGAGGCCGTTGTGGGGTGTGGTCCGAGCCGGGATACTGACCTGCAGCAAGGGGGGCCGAGGAGTGAGCTAGACACGGCTGTGGGGTGGGACATGGAGAAAGCTGCTGGGTGCCAGTCGGCTTGGAGTCAAGGGGCGGCTGATGTGGAGAGGGCAGAGACAGGGCAGGCGGGGGGAGAGCGAGGGACCAGGGGTTTGGAACGAGATGCGAGGGTTTCAGAGGTGCTCGAGGGGACAGGGGCGGGAGGGCTGGGGGCCAAGGAAGAGTCAATGGGCTGGCATGGCTTGGAGACGGGGTTACAAGGAGGGTTACCAGAGGGAGGTTCTCAACAAGGTAAAGGGCTGCAGGACCCCCCAAGGCCGAAGCTGAGGATAGTGGACTTGAATGTGTCTTGGAGGGAAGAGGATGAGGAGGAGGAGGAGGCGGGAGAGACTGTGGAGATGGTTCGGGCACCCTCCCCACAACCAGCAGCAGCAGCAGCTACACTAGTGGAGGCAGGTGCGACTGTTGCAGCACAGGCAAGAGCAGCCGGAACAGCCGGAGCAGCAGCAGCACCACCACCACCAAGAGCAGCAGCAGGTGCAGTGGGTTGCAGAGCGGTGGATCGCAACAGCTCTGATCGTGTACATAGCGAGGACGACGCGGGTGGTACTCAGGTGTCTCCCTTTGAGACGGCGACGAGCAACAGTGAGGGCACGCTGGGGAGCGTGGCAGCGGCTGCGGTGCTGTCAGCAGTGGTCGGTTCGGCCAATGCTGTGGCCGCTCCTGCTGCTGTTGCCCCTGCAAGTGCTGATGGCACCGCTGCACCTGGTGCTAGTGCTGGTGCTAACGCCGGTGTTGGTGTTGGTGCTACTGCTACTGCCAGTGCTTGTGGCGGTGCGCCTAACGCTGCTGCAGCTGCGTCTGAGAGCAAGGTCCCTGGCCTCGCTGCCTCTGCTTCGCTCCTGAACGAAATCACGCTTCCCAGCGTCCCTCTCTTGGTGTCCTGTAGCTCGGGAGGGGCAGGATTTGACGTGCCTCAAAACGCAGGCTTGGGAGGGAAGGGGAGGGGCGCGGAGGAGCAGCGGAGGGTTGAGGGGGAGTGGGGAGGGGTTGGGAAGGATGGAGAGGGACGTGAGGTGAAAGGAGAGTGGGGTGGGAAGGCGGAGGGCTTTGAGAAGGAGGAGGAGAGTGAGAAGGGAGAGGGGAATGGGAAGGGAGAGATGGTGGAGAAGGGAGAGGGAGGGAGAGGAGGCAATCTGGAAGGGGCGGTGAAGAAAGAGAGAGGGGAGAAGAGGAAGAGGGAGAAGAGGGAGAAGGGGGAGAGGAGGGACAAGAGAGAGAGAAGAGAGAAAGGGGAGGAGAAGAAGAAGGATAGGGAGCGAGGCGAGAAGGGGGAGAGGAGAGGCAAGGGGGAGAGGGAGAAGAGGCACAAGGACAAGGGGGAGCGGGCCAAGGGAGAGAGGGGAGAAAGGGAGGCGGAGAGAGGGGAGAGAGGGGAGAGAGGGGACGGGAAAGAAGTGGAGGGGAGGAGGGCGGAGCGTGTAGAGGTTGAGGCTGGGGGGAGGAGGGCGAAAGCTGAGAGGGTGAATGCGGAGAGGCAGGAGGCTGCGAAACAGGAGGCAGAGAGGTCTCCCCTGCCTGGGCTGATCCTGGGAGTGGATGTAGCAGCTGGGGTTGGGCAATCAGCAGCTGGGGTTGGGCGATCAGCAGCTGGGGTTGGGCAATCCGAGCCTGCGCACGTCGAGAAGGAAGCGGAGGGAGAGGAGGGGGGGGCAGAGATAGGGGAGAAGGTGAAGGAGGAGACGAGAGCGGGGGAGGAGGTGGCGGTGGGGAAGCAAGGGGTGGTTGAAAATTCGAGGGAGGAGAGTTGGTCCAAGCGAGAGGGCAGGACAAGGGAAGGGGGGTTGGCAGCGCTAAAGACTGCGACAATGGAAGAGGGGATGGTGACAGATGAAGTGGTGAAGAAGGAAAGGTTGGAGGAGGGAGAGGGAATGGGGAGAGACGAGGGAATGGTGTGTTGGAATGATGACGCGCTGTCGGATGTGAGTGAAGACCCCGATGATCTGGACACTGGAGGTGCTGCAGAAGTTGGGGGAGTTGGGGAGAGCAAACCTGCTGACACGAGGCCTGACAATGACAATGGGGAGAGCCAGCATGCGGGGGAGGAGAGTAGGCCTGATGACGGTGGGGGTCAGGAGAGATTGGTGCGTGTGAGGAGTGAGCCTGAAGCTTCAAGAGAAGATGCTGCTTTTGAAACAGAGGCACAAGGGGAGGCTGGGGCTGAAGCTGCCTTGCAGGGGGATACTTCAGTGCAGGCCCAGGCTCGGCAGAAAGCTGCATTCTCTGATGTTACCGAACCTGATCCTTCCGAGCCTCAAGTTTCTGAGCCTAGCTTTGAGGCGCCTCAGAACGGGCCGCATGCTTCCGAACCTGACACGACAGATATGGATGGTTCCGAAGCGGCTGCTGTCACCGAAGCTATGGAAGTGGATGCTCTGGTGCTGAGCCGACTCAAGCCTGCACTTTCAGATGTTACCGAACCTGATGCTGCCGAGCCTGATGGTTCCGAACCTGACGCTATGGATGAGATTTCCCCTCTTCACGTGCTTCCGGACTTGGAGGCAGCTTCAGCTCCAGGCTCGGCTGCTTCAGCGTTAGGTTCGGCAAGCAAAGGCCTTTCCTCTCCAGGTTCGACCAGCAAGGCCTCCTTGACTCCAGGTTCGGCAACCAGGCCTAGCCGGAAGGTTCGGAAAGAGCAGGGGGAGAGAGTGGGGGAGGAGGGAACAGGGGAATTGGGGATGGCAAAAAGGATTGGTTTAGAAGAGGAGGAGAAGAGTGAGGAGAGAGAGGGGAAGGCGAAGGAGCGTGAGAGTAAGAGGGAGGAAGTGAAGGGGAAGGGTAAGAAGGAAGAGAAGAGAGAAGGGGAGAGGAAGAGGGAGGGGGAGAGGGAGGGGTATGGGAAGGGACGGCCTCACAGGAGGAACTCGAGCTCTTCCTTTGACCTAGGGCGAGAGAAGCGCGATGAAGGCCCAAGGGAGAAGGGAGAGGAGGGCAATAGGGAGAGGGGGGAAGACAGCAAGAGGGGAAAGGGAGAGGAAAGTAAGAGAGACAAGGGGGAAGAAAGCAAGAGAGGGAAGGGGGAGGAAAGTAAGAGAGAGGAGAGTGCAGAGAGGAGGTCCGGGAGCGATAAGCGGGAGGGGAGCAGAAGGAGTGGGGAGAAGGGGAGAGTGCGGATGAACAGTGTGGAGGCTGGAGGGGACGAGGACAGTGAGGAGGGGGGGATCGGCAGGGGGAGTAGAGAGGAGAGGAGTGGAGTGGGAGGGAGAGAAGCGAGGGAAGGGTCAGGTGGATGGGAGAGGGAGAGGGAGAGGGAGTGTATGTTGGGATTGCGTGGATCCTGGAGGGAAGGGGAGGAGAAGGAGAGAGGGAGGGAGGGGAGGGAGGCGAGAGAAGGGAGAGATGCACGGGATTGGAGAGAGGGCAGGGAGGGGAGAGAAGGGAGGGAATTGAGGGAGTGGAGGGAGGGCAGGGAGGAGTGGGAAGGAAGGGACGGGAGAGACGGGAGAGACGGAAGGGACATGAGAGAGGGAAGAGACAGCGGCAGGGAGAGGGATGGCAGCCGGGAGATGAGGGAGGGGCGAGAAGGGAGGGAAGGGCGAGAAGGAAGAGAAGGGAGAGAAGGCAGAGAAGGGCGGCGGGAAACAGGCTTCAGCGATTGGCCGTTGGACCCGCCTCTCGACTCCGACGGCTTCCCTCTGCCCATGGACCCCGCCCTCCTCTCTCGATCCTCTGGCAGTGGTGCTGGCAGCGCCACGTGGCGCGACGGCCCCAGTCCCAGGCTCCCAGGGGGAGGGGGAGGAGGTGGCATGGGCGGAGGGGGCATGCGCAGGAGCCCTGACCGGGAGTTTTTCCTGGGGCCGGGGGGAGGAGGGGGGGGAGGGGGCGTGTGGGGAGCAGGGGGGCTTCACCCTTCCCCTCGGGGGCTTCCCCCCGGACCAGGCAGGGCGTTTGGGGGAGCAGCTGGGGGGGGATGAGCCCTGCTGTTATGGCTGCTGCTGCCGCCGCCGCCGCTGCTGCTGGGATGCCTGCAGGTTGGATCGGGCCTCCAATGGGGCCGCGACACCTGGCGGCGCGTCGTGCGACTGCTGCTGTGGCAGCGGCAGCGGCTGCTGGGGGGATGGGGATGAGGGGAGGGCCTATGGGGCCGATGGGTGTGGGTAGAGGGGGAGCAGGAGGGATGGAGGGATTGCCAGAGATTCACAGAAGAGGCGAGCATGTGGGAGGGGGAGGGCCCATCCGGGGGAGGCATAGCCTGCGGGAAGCTGCCGCGCTTCGCCGCCCGGAGCATCTGGTGGGCGGCGGGTTCGGCCGAGGAGGAGGCATGCATGAGGTTTGGCGGAGGGACGGGTGGAGGGAGGGAGGCATGGGGTTAGGCCCGGGAGGCCCCGGACCTGGGATTGGGCCTGGGATGAGGATGGGTGGCGCGTTTGGCGGGTATGGAATGGGCCCCGGACCAGGAATGCCGTTTGTTGGGGGAGGGGGTATGTATGGGGGCGGGCCGGGTCCCCCTCGCGACCTGAGGGATCATTTCCCCCTGGATATGTGGAGGGGGGTTGGGGGAAGGGGGGGTGATGGGGGGAGGGCGGAGGGGAGGAGGGATTCAGATGGGGGAAGGATGGGGTGGGACGAGCCTGGGGGCAAGGAGAATGGGATGATGGGGGGAGGGGAGAGGGGGGGGCTTGGTCCCCCCACGCCCTCAGGGGGAGGACCAGGGGCGAGAGGGGGAATGGGGGGATTTCAAGGGGAGGGGAAGGGGAGAGGGGGGTTCCATCCATCGCCTGGAGCAGGGGAGGGTGACTGGGGGGCGGGTAGCGGAGGGGAAGGTAGGGGAGGGGGAGAAAGGGGAGAAAGGGGGGAAAGAGGAGGAGGTGGGGGAGGGGGAGGGGGAGGTGGTGGTTCTGAGTGGGGCTCACCTGTAGGGGTGGGGTCTAGTGGGAGGAAGCAGGCAAGTGGAGGCGGAGGGGGAGGAGGCAGTGGAGGTAAGGAGATGTTACGATCTGCTAACGGCCACCGTCGATAGAGTTGGGTTAGGAATTCCCTGACTGGTATGTCCCATGCTACTGCAATTGTGAGCTACAGTGCCTCAACTGGAGTTGGTACTTGGAAGGCCCTCCTTTGGAGTTCCCTAGGGCTCTGAATCGTGTTAAGTACATTCCTAACATAGGTACTAGATTTGCTTTTCTACTTCTGAGGTTGATTTGCTCTAGCATTTCTTGTGTTATAGAATGTTATAGTACGACCTACCGTAAACACAGCTGGTTAGAAGACCCCCTGGTTGTGGTTAATGTTACTCTGCCGTCACGACAAGTGCATGAAAGTCATTGGCATGGCAAGCGATGAACAGAGCCGAGCACATAGAAAATTGTTAGTGCTCATATATATTTGTGTTAGAAATGTTAAGACTATATAAGTTACATATAATTGATATGCTTGGTAGTTGTTACTGAAACTTTCTGTAGAGGGTACAATCCCCTCCTTGTACCCCTCTCTCTTCCTAATCGAGTCTCTTCTCTCTCCTAGATCTACTCTCCTCCCGCCATTCCATGGCGGCCTTCCTAGTATCCTAACTTCCTAGCTAAACTAGTTATCAGAATTGCGAAGTGAATAATCGATAGAGTGAGAGTACACACAGATATACCTAAGTGTTGTACTCTCTAAGAGGCGACCCTATACAGTCTATACAAACTTGACAAATACACATGTTTGACACACCCCCTAGACTGCATAGGGGAATGCCCTAAACAAACAGCTCAGGGCGGCACTACTAGTCCAACCTCTGAGACAAGGGTCTGAGAGACCAGTCAGAAGGACTACAAACAAGGCAAGAACAAGAGCAGGGCGGCACTACTAGTCCAGCCACTGGGAGAGGACACAAGTCCAGTCTGAGTATACGTATAAAGAACAGTACAAAGTCAAGGTCCTAGCAAGTGAGAGGCTACAGGAACTAGACCAAGCTGTACACAGTGCCGCTGATGATCTTTAGGCGCAAGCGCCTTCGTAAAGATATCAGCCGTGTTGGCACCTGAGGGCAAGTGTACTACGCGAGCCTGACGTCGCTGCTGTAGCTCACGCAGCAGGAAGTACCGCAGCTGAATGTGCTTTGCTCTGCCCTCGAGTGGAGGCTCCTGACATAGGAGGATCATGGCCCTGTTGTCAGCGAACAGGACCGGGGCAGAGCTAGGCCGCTCACCTAAGTCAGTGAGCAAGAAGGTCAGCCAGCGGAGCTCCTGTGCCGCCATGGCACCAGCGTAGATCTCAGCCTCACAGCTGGACTGCGCAACAGACGAGGAGCGGGTAGCTCTCCACGAGACGGCACCTGAGCCAAGGCTGAAGCAGTAGCCCTGGGTAGACCTGAGTGTCTCAGCGTCGTCTGCCCACGAAGCGTCTGTGTGTCCAGTAAGGACCACTGGCCTGCGTCCTCCTAGCACTAACCCCATGCCTGATGTACTAGCAAGATAACGCAAAACCCTCTTAGCGGCAGACCAGTGCTGCGGTCGGTGTCTGCCTGTGGCCACAAAGCGAGCCACGATGCTGAGAGGGTATGCGAGATCTGGGCGAGTGCAAGTCATCAGGTACATGAGGCAACCCACCAGCTCTACGTAGGGGCCGCTGGGCTCTACCAACTCCTCAGACACTGGAGCGGAGAGTCTGTGGTCTACAGGCAGAGGGGTGGGCTGTGCAGAGGAGAACTGAAGGCTGAACCTCTGAAGGACCTGGCGCACCAAGTGTGACTGAGTCAGGGTGATGGTGCGCGCAGCTCTGTCCCTGGAGATCTGCAAGCCAAGGTAACGGCGCAGTTCTCCAAGGTCAGTGCACGTGTGTCTCTTCAGCACCTCTGCCTTCACGGAGGCCAGTGCGTCTCTGTCAGCTGTGGCAAAGACCAGGTCGTCGACGTAAACAAGGATGTAGAACGGAGTCTGGCCAGCACGAACGAAGAGTGAAGGGTCTGCGGATGACGGAAAGAACTGCAGGTCAGCAAGCGTAGCACGGAGAGTGTCGTGCCACTCACGGGGAGCCTGGCGCAGGCCGTAGACGGGGCGCCGCAGGAGCCACTGGGTCCTGGAGGCAGCCAACACCAACTAGGTTCCTGGAGAACGAGGGGATATGCAGACCTGTGAGAGAGCCCGAAGGAACCGCCGGACAGGGAAGGGTGGTGGAATTGCGGGCGACGACCGGACCGCCGGAGGGGTCAGCAAGAGAGACAGCAGCTGGGACAGGAAGCGGCGTCAGGGTGGTGGAGTCGCGGAAGAAACACCGAGAAGCGCCAGAGTCCAAGGTGAAGGAAAGCGAAGCAAAGGCGTCTGGCAACGGAACGACGGCGGAAGCACCAAGACTACACAAAGCAGGGGATCCTACGCCTGACGCAGCAGGGGAGGCTAAGCTAGGCACACCTACACTAGGTAACAGTGAGTAATAAGCGGGAAGCACACTAGAGTCATCAGCATACATCACATGCAGAGCAGCAACAATGACATCCATGTCCATATCAAAAATCTGAATCTTACGACTAAGCAAACTGTGCCAGTCCGGGAGGTCTGGCGACGGGCCGAAGCGCTGACGAAAGAGGTCGTCCAGGCGACGAAAACAGTGGGGAGTGGAGTGACCGATCTTACCGCAAACGAAGCCGCGGCGAGGACCGGTCTGGATGTGGTACTGACAACGCCCGCCGCTAGAGCCACCACTCGGCACACCACCACGCGCCCGGCCACCGCTAGCGCCGGGCCACCCGGGCGGGAGGACACTCGTCTGCCGCGTCTGCGACGGCTGCTGCGGCTGCTGCGAAGGCTGCAACTGCGGCGGCTGCTGCGGCTGCTGCAACTGCAGGGGCGGCGGCTCAGCTGGACTGGGCAGGGCCCCCTCGTCCGCTCCAGCACCAGACGACCCGACCCCACCACTACCCCCTCCCGCACCCCCGCGGCCGCGGCCGCCGCGCCCAACCTTGGGGCGGCGGCCCTTCCCCGAACGAAACTGCGCTGCAGCAGCAGTCTCAGCCACTGCGGCAGAGCCGTCGGAGAAGGTACACTGGGCGGGGGCACAACCCTGAAAGATAGGGACCGGCACGACACCGCTCGCCTGGGCGATGGAGCGGTGACGGGTCTCTATCACAGTCAGGGTGTCTACAAAGTCGATGAGGGTGAGGTCTGCGGGGTGGAGGCTAAGGAAGCGGTCGCGGGCGAAAGCAAGGCGGTCAGGGAGGCGGGTGGCAAGCAGGTAGAGGGTAGAGGTAATGGGCGGCTGGTGGGCTCTAAGCTGTGCATCAGTGCAGGCTGCACGCCAGGTCTCATCTATCGAGCGCAGGTGGGCAGGGAGGTCAGAGACAGTGGGGAAAGATGCAAGGTCAGGAAAGAGCATCGGGAGGATCAGGCGACCCACCGAGGCAGCCGGAGGGATGGAATAGCGCTGGATGACAGCATCTAAGTATGCCTGAGCAGTGGTGAGAGACCTAAAACGAGGGCGCTCGGACGGGGGAAGGGCGTTGCTCATGGCAAGCTGGGCGACAGCATCGCGAGAAAGCCAGACAGAGCGCGCACGGGTTGTGGCAGCAGTGGACTCGCGCTCAGTGGGTGTGGAGTCAGCGGGCACAATAGCAGGGGGGCCTGGGCAGGGGAGCGTACCGTCAAGGTGTGCGGAGAGCGGTTCACCATCCTGCCGCTGGCCAGTGAGTTGGCGACGGAGGTCGGCAAGCCACGCCTCGAACTCCAGAGGCTGGCCTTCAGCGTCGAAGCGAAGCTCCGCCGCCATCAGGAACAGTGCAGTGCGCTGCAGGGCAGTGCAGCAAGGTGGAGTGCGGTGCCTTGCGGTACAGTGCGATGCAGTGCGGTGCAGTGCGGTGTAGGGCAGTGCCGGGTGGTGCGGGGCGGTGCAGTGCGGGGCAGTACGGTGCAGGGCAGTGCAGGGCGGGGGGGGGGGGGGGGGGGAACCGTACCAGTGAGTAGGACCGGGGCCGGGGCAGGGACGAGCGCAGGGGCCGGGCCGGTGCAACGGGGCCGGGCGGGCGCGACGGGGCCGGGCGGGCGCGACGGGGCCGGGCTCGTGCGACGGGGCCGGGCGGGTGCGTCGGGGCCGGGCTGGTGCGACGGTGCCGGGCCGGTGCGACGGGGCCGGGCGAGCAGGACGGTGGCGCGGGAGGGGCGCACCGGGGCTGGGCGGGCGCGACGGGGCCGGACGGGTGCGACGGGGCCGGACGGGTGCGACGGGGCCGAGCGGCTGCGACGGGGCCGGGCAGGGGGCGACGGGGCCGGGCGGGTGCAACGGGGCCGGGCGGGCGTGACGGGGCCGGGCTGGTGCGACGGGGCCGGGCTGGTGCGACGAGGCCGGGCTGGGGCGACGGGGCCGGGCGAGCGCGACGGGGCCTGAAGGCGTGACGGGGCCCAGGAGGGGGGGGCTCGACGCGGCCCAGGAGGGGCACGACGGGGGCCAAGGAGGGGCGGTACAGGGGCCCAGGAGGGGCGCGACGGGGACCAGGAGGGGCGCTACGAAGCCTAGGAGGGGCGCGACAAGGCCCAGGAGGGGCGCTACGGGGCCTAGGAGGGGCGCGACGGGGCCTGGGAGGGGCGCGACGGGGCCCAGGAGGGGCGCATCGGGGCCCAGGAGGGGCGCGACGGGGCCCAGAAGGGGCGCTACAGGGCCAACGGAGGGCGCGACGGGGCCCAGGAGGGACGCTACGGGGCCCAGGAGGGGCGCGACGGGGCCCAGGAGGGGCGCTACGGAGCCCAGGAGGGGCGCGACGGGGCCTGGGAGGGGCGCGACGGGGCCCAGGAGGGGCGCTACAGGGCCCAGGAAGGGCGCGACAGGGCCCAGGAGGGGCGCTACGGGGCCCAGGAGGGGCGCGACGGGGCCCAAGAGGGGCCCTACGGAGCCCAGGAGGGGCGCGACGAGGCCCAGGAGGGGCGCTACAGGGCCTAGGAGGGGCGCGACGGGGCCTGGGAGGGGCGCGACGTGGCTAGGGGGGTCGCGACGGGGCTAGAGGGGTGAGCGGAACCGGTAGGTGGGGGGGGGGGATCCTACCTACGCGTGATACCATATCAGAATTGAGAAGTGAATAATCGATAGAGTGAGAGTACACACAGATATACCTAAGTGTTGTACTCTCTAAGAGGCGACCCTATACAGTCTATACAAACATGACAAATACACATGTTTGACACTAGTGTCCTAAGCAGGCCCCCAGAAGTCAGGACAATTTTCCTGATTCAGGAAAAAAACAGGATGTTGAGTGGTACTAGATCTGATTTGCTAGGGTTATTTTTTTTGGCATTTCCTGAATTTTCAGGGTTTTTTTGTAAGGGATATCTG